CAACTACGATGATTTAAAATGTAGATAAATTTCTTGTCGTTTATTAACGCAATTGTCATAAGAAGATGAGAGATGATAGCTTCTATAGTTTAAGGCCGACAAAATTAAAAGTTAATTTAAACCTTGGAAGCTACGAATAAGTCTTCTCGTCGTTTCGAGTCTTTCGTAATTTATTTTGTTGTATTTATTTTGTCATTATAATAGCCAATGTAAAACAGTTGAGACACCGGTACCGTTACCGATGTCTCAACGCGGGTGAGACAAACTCGTTTTCTAAACGATCTCTACTAATTATGCCTTAATTAACAACAAATGAACTTTTTTTTAAGTTGATTATATAAAATGAAACGCTGACAGTAGGATCGCACATTTCGAAGATGGCATTTGTTGTACTTCTTCAATTTTTAATCTACACCTGAATTTGCTTCAGGTCCTAGTGAGGTAAGATCGCATATAGGATTAAAACGGAGGCCTTAGCCCCGCACGAGGGATTTTGAGGTTACCCGCCCTCGGAGGCCACTGAGGCCAGGCGTCTTCGGGGTACTCTGAGGCCACCCGTCCTCGCAGGCATCTAAAGCGGTGCGTCCTGGGAGGCTTCTGAGGCCACCCATCTTCGGAGGCCTCTGAGGCCACTCGCCATTGGAGGCCTCTGAGGACACTAACGTTCGGAGGCCTCTGAGGCCACCCGCCCTTGGAAGCCTCTGAGGCCACCTACCTTCAGAGGCCTCTGAGGCCACTCGCCTTCGGAGGCCTCTGAGGACACTAACCTTCGGAGGCCTCTGAGGCCACCTGCCCCATGGAGGCCTCTGAGGCCACCTACCTTCGGAGACCTCTAAGAACACTCACCTTCGGAGGCCTGTGAGGCCACCCTCCCTCAGAGGCCCAGCCTCAAGGGATGGGGGGAGCTATAACCGGGGCTGAGTTCTCCCCTTTGGCCCACCCTTTAAGGAGCCTAAATCCTTCTTTTGAGAAAGCGTTCCTTGATCTGCCTGCTGAACGCGTCTTAAGCAGCGTCTAAAGAGGGTCTTTACATGAACACTTTAGCGTTACTCATAAGAGTAACTCACAGGGAATACGCGTCCCTCACAAGACGAGGTTGTGGTTCATGAACACTTTTTAGCGTTACTCATATGAGTAACTCACAGGGATACGCGTCCCTCACAAGACAAGGTTGTGGTTCACGAACACTTCAGCGTTACTCATAAGAGTAACTCACAGGGAATACGCGTCCCTCACAAGACGAGGTTGTGGTTCATGAACACTTTTTAGCGTTACTCATATGAGTAACTCACAGGGATACGCGTCCCTCACAAGACAAGGTTGTGGTTCACGAAGACTTCAGCGTTACTCATAAGAGTAACTCACAGGGAATACGCGTCCCTCACAAGACGAGGTTGTGGTTCATGAACACTTTTTAGCGTTACTCATATGAGTAACTCACAGGGATACGCGTCCCTCACAAGACAAGGTTGTGGTTCACGAAGACTTCAGCGTTACTCATAAGAGTAACTCACAGGGAATACGCGTCCCTCACAAGACGAGGTTGTGGTTCATGAACACTTTTTAGCGTTACTCATATGAGTAACTCACAGGGATACGCGTCCCTCACAAGACAAGGTTGTGGTTCACGAAGACTTCAGCGTTACTCATAAGAGTAACTCACAGGGAATACGCGTCCCTCACAAGACGAGGTTGTGGTTCATGAACACTTCAGCGTTACTCATATGAGTAACTCACAGGGAATACGCGTCCCTCACAAGACGAGGTTGTGGTTCATGAACACTTCAGCGTTACTCATAAGAGTAACTCACAAGGAATACGAGTCCCTCACAAGACGAGGTTGTTGTTCATGAACACTTTAGCGTTACTCATAAGAGTAACTCACAGGGACACGCAACCCTCACAAGACGAGGTTGTGGTTTATGAACACTTTAGCGTTACTCATAAGAGTTACTCACAGGGAATACACGCGTCCCTCACAAGGCGAGGTTTTCGACGTCTTCACTTGAACTAATTAATTTAGGTTCATTGAATTATTTATTTATGTACAAAATCTTTGTAAATATTTTGTGGAAATCTTAATTATTGACGGGTTCCAGATATGACAGTCTGGATGCCGGAAAACAGAGAAAAATTTCATGATAAATTTTGATATTTGTTCGATTTATAATATTTTAGATTATTAAAAGAGAGAATTTCCGTATACTCCCATCGCTTTTATCGAGTCTTTTAACTGCTACAAATAACTGTTATTAATTATTATCATTATTATCATAGGAAGTTGTTATATTATATATTATACGTCAGTTATGGAGCCGTGTGGTACAAATGAACTTCGAGGGCACGTTACACATATGTTTAATAGCAAGCGAAAAATAAATAAACACGAGAAGTGATGAGAACGAGAACTGTTCTTGTGAAATTAATCTTTTATACATTAAATTAGTTCATTGATAGTGGTGAGTAATTTGAAAATTCATGTTTAATTGGCTCTCTACAGAAGCAGCAGTGATTTTTCAATATATTTATGTATTTCCCTTCAATTACTGACACTTTACTTCAGAACTTAATTCTCCTCGGCGGAGGTCGGCTTCCATCCTAAAGTGCAGCTAGAAACTATATATATAAATTATAATTATGATTTACTTCTATTTTTTTATAATTTATAATCAATATTAATTATTTGGAGCTCTGTACAATAATTAATTGTTATTGTATTTATATAGCAAGTAATCGCAACTTTTATTTTTTTATATTTTATAATCAATATTAGTTATTTGTCTTTCTAGAAAACAATTGATTGATATTGTATTTATATAGCAAGTAATCGCCAATAAATTTACAGTAAACCTTATTTTTTCCAGACATTTCCCCCGCGCCCTGCAATGGGGGTGTGATGGGGCCGTACGGTCTCACCCCCCACCACATCGCCTCCCCCGCACTCCTGCGATCCCCGGGTATGGATTTTGCGTTAAAAATAATAAACAAATAATAATATATTATTTAATATTGTTATTATTTATATAATAATAATAAATATAATAGTGGACAATTTTTAAACAAATGTTCGTCAGTTCGTTTAAATAAAAAAATACTCTGCCTGCCGAATGGAATATTAGTTTATACAGTTTCTTATTATATAAAAGGGTTATCTAATACTCTGTCTATTTTTTAATTTTAATCAGGATACATTGCAAAAAATGATGATGCATGATTTTTTTCATGTCATAATTATTGGGGACATGAGCTATAATTATCACTATTACGAAGCATTATTTATTTTAAAACATTTTTGCCAACACCACAACAGGAGTTAACAACATAGTTGTTGTTATCGCATTACAACATACAGATGTTGTACGCAATACGCATTACAACATAGATATTGTTATCATACAACATGTTGTGCATGTAGCACAAAAGCTGTTATCACATGTCCGTTGTTACCGCCATGTAGCAGCTGTTATCACATGTCCGTTGTTCCCGCCATGACAGTTGTTATCACATGTCCGTTGTTACATCTATGCATTTATGAGTTGTGTCGTGTAATTAAAAATTATTCTGTTTTATAGTTAGTGCCATGTTGTATTGTGCTCTTGCTAATATGCGTTTTGAACTTTTGCAAATATGTTTGTATATTGTAGTTAATATGTATTCTGTACTGTAAGTAAATATGACATGTAGCTAACATGTATCTTTCCCTCTGACGTGTACAGAGTTCGAGAGGACACATTACCCTGACGTGTTCGCCAGGGAGCGCCTCGCAGAGAAGATTGGCCTCCCTGAGGCCAGAATCCAGGTAGGACACAAGTCTCATGCACTCACTGTAATGAGAGTGACTTTGTCTAAATATTGGTGCAATTTTGACCTTGTTTTGGGTCATCCAATACATATTGACCAAATTAGGCCATGCAAAGAGGGCAGAAAAGGAGTCACTATTTAGACAATTTGACCAATATATTTTTCAGCTTTTGATAGGGCGCGAGAAGTAACACTGAAATTTATTTTTCTCGGCCAAACTGCGTCAGGATGACCCACAAATGAGGGCAAAAAGTGCATCGCTAATTGGATAAAGTCTCAGTTTTTTTCTGAGTGACCATTGATATATGATTTGTGTGTGGATAAGTTTTGGTAATTGTAGAATTACCATTCAATTCATACGAATGTGCAAATCGAAGTAACTTAAAGTATTGGCTGAAATTTACACTCAACTAATTTAACTCATTTCACTGGGTCGTTTTTTTCCTCCACTTAGTAACTGATAATTATGAAATTAAATACAGAGTTTTTAATACCCGTTGCTCTGTGGCGAAGATATTTTTTACAGTATTACAGCTACCCGTTTTCAATTAAAACGGTAAAACAATTGGAGCCTAACCTAACACCCAATTTAACCTAACCAAACCTATTCGAAAACGGGAGTAGATAAAAAAAATCTTCGCAACTTGCAGCGCAAGACATTAAAAATTTGTATTTAACTCCATAATTATTGGCTACGAATTAAATGAATGGGGCGTGCCGAACCAGGATAGCCCACTTATGTATAAGCCCAGGCTTATATGGTGTGTCGTGGTGCGTCGTGGTGCGTCTTGGTGTGTCCCCGTGTCTTGGGTTAAACGACCACGCACCCGTGTCGAATTGGCCTCATTTAATGTGTATGTGGATATTACGTTACAAATTCCTGTTCATATCTGAGAGCAGGAGCATTTAATTAAATCACGAGCGGAGGCCGGCTAAAGGCATTCGAACATTGCATTTTATTACACTGATATAAGAATGACATGACATTGTTATTGTGTATTGCATCACGTAGGCGTGTTGTGTTATGTCGTGTGCGTTTCGTGTTGTAACATTTGTGCGTCATGTTGTAACGTGTGCGTGTCATGCTGTAGCGTGTGCGTGTCGTGTTCTAACTTGTGCGTGTCGTGTTGTAACGTATATTGTATTTATATAGCAAGTAATCGCCAATAAAATTTACAGTAAATCCGTCGTTTTTCCAGACATTTCCCCCGCCCCCTGCAATGGGGGTGTGATGGGGCCATACGGTCTCACCCCCCACCACATCGCCTCCCCCGCACTCCTGCGATCCCCGGGTATGGATTTCGCCTTAATAATAATAAATAAATAATAATTTATTTATTTCTTGTTGTAATTATTATTTATATAATAATAATAAATATAAGAGTGGACAATTTTTAAACAAATGTTCGTCAGTTCGTTTAAATAAAAAAAATACCCTCTGCTTCCAAAATAGAATATTAGTTTATACTATTTCTTATCATTTAAAAAAGTCATCTAAAACTCTGTCAATTATTTAAATTTTAATCAGCATACATTGCAAAAAATGATGATGCATGATTTTATATTGGGGACATGAGCTATAATTATTAATATTACAAAACATGATTTATTCTAACACGTTTTTGTTAACACCACAGCAGCAGTTAACAACATAGATGTTGTTATCGCATTACAACATAGATGCTGTTATCATCATAGCAGCAGCATGTAGTACAACAGCTGTTATCACATATCCGTTGGTACCACCATGCAGCAGCTGTTATCACATGTCCGTTGTTACCACCATGCAGCAGCTGTTATCACATGTCCGTTGTTCCCGCCATGACAGCTGTTATCACATGTCCGTTGTTCCCGCCATGTAGCAGCTGTTATCACATGTCCGTTGTTACCACCATGACAGTTGTTATCACATGTTATCACTTAGGTTTGTTCTCCCCGAGCGACAACAACAACGAAGCAACAAGTGACGGTAACAGTGAGCACAACAGCTGTTATCACATGTCCGTTGTTACCGTCATGACAGTTGTTATCACCTGTTATCACTCAGGTTTGTTCTCCCCGAGCGATAACAACAACGAAGCGACAAGCGACGGTAACAGTTAGCACAACAGCTGTTATCCCATGCCCGTTGTTACCGCCATGACAGTTGTTATCACCTGTTATCACTTAGGTTTGTTCTCCCCGAGCGACAACAACAACGAAGCAACAAGTGACGGCAACAGTGAGCACAACAGCAGCACAGACGAGGACTCGCAGCTTCGGCTGCGGCTCAAGCGCAAGCTGCAGCGCAACAGAACGTCCTTCACTAACGAACAAATTGATGCCTTAGAAAAAGGTTCGTTCTCAAAATATTTATTATTTACTTATATAATGTAACATAACATAATATAATATAATATAATATAATATAATATAATATAATATAATATAATATAAATAATAGTATTTACGTTGTGAAAATATTTCTTTTAATATGTGTTCAGTGATCAAGATAATATGTGTTCTGTACTTCAAGAAATATGTATTGTTTGTAGCTATATATCTATTCTAGGCATTTATGTGTGGTGTCGTGCACTTAATGATTATTCGGTATTATAGTTAGTATGTGTATTGACCTCTTAATTTCTAATATGTGTGATGAACTTGTGCCAATATGTTTTTCACATTGTAGGTAATAGGTATATTGTCCTGCAAATAAATAAAACATGCAGCTAACATGTATCTTTCCCTCTAACGTGTACAGAGTTCGAGAGGACACATTACCCTGACGTGTTCATGTAGCTAACATGTATCTTTCCCTCTGACGTGTACAGAGTTCGAGTGGACACATTACCCTGACGTGTTCATGCAGCTAACATGTATCTTTCTCTCTGACGTGTACAGAGTTCGAGAGGATACATTACCCTGACGTGTTCATGTAGCTAACATGTATCTTTCCCTCTGACGTGTACAGAGTTCGAGAGGACACATTATCCTGACGTGTTCGCCAGGGAGCGCCTCGCAGAGAAGATTGGCCTCCCTGAGGCCAGAATCCAGGTAGGACACAAGTCTCATGCACTCGCAGTAACGACCCTAACAAAATTCGGGGACCGCCTAGGCTTCGGCCGAATAGTCACTACACTCGGCGCAAAGTTATTCTGGGTCAGTTGGCCAACTGATCGCAATCAGCGACTAGTCAGAACATGATTTACGTTCGGTCCGAGTCCTAAGCGGTTCCTAATTCAGGCTCGCCACCAAATGAGTGTGACTTTGTCCAGATATTGGTGCAATTTTGACCTTGTTTTGGGTCATCCAATACATATTGACCAAATTAGGCCATGCAAAGAGGACAGAAAAGGTGCCACTATTCAGACAATTTGACCAATTTATTTTTCAGCTTGTGATAGGGCGCGAGAAGTAGCACTGAAAATTTATTTTTCTCGGCCAAACTGCATCAGGATGACCCAAATATGAGGGCAAAAAACATCGTTAATTGGACAAAGTCTCAGTTTTTTTAGTGTTCGTTGAGAAATGATTTGCGTGTGGATAAGTTATGTTAATTGTAGAATTACCATTCAATTCATACGGATGTGAAAGTCGGAGTAACTTAAAGTATTGACTGAAATTTGCATTCAACAAATTTAACTCATTTCACCGGATCTTTTTTTTCCTTCACTTAGTACCAATAATTAATTAAAAACATATTTTGTAATGCCCATTGCGCCGTGGCGCGGATTTTTTTATACTTTTACATCTTCCCTATTTCAAACGGTAAAGCGGGTGGAGCCTAACCTAACCTAGCCCAATTCAACCTAGCCAAACATTTGAAAACGGGAGTAGATGAAAATATAAAAAAAATCCATGTCACAACGCCATAGACATTAAGAATTGGTACTTAATACAATAATTATTGGCAACGAATTAAATGAATGGGGCATGCAGGAGCGTTACAACTTTTACGTTACAAATTCCAGCTCATATCTGAGAGCAGGAGCATTTAATTAAATCACGAGGAGAGTCCGGCTAAAGGCATCCGAAAATTGCATTTTATTGCACTGATATGTGAATGATATGACATTGTTATTGCGTCACGTAAGCGTGTTGCGGTATAACATGTGTGTCATGTTGTAACGTGTGCGTGTCATCTTGTAACGTGTGCGTGTTGTGTTATAACGTGTACGTGTCATGTTGTAACGTGTGCGTGTCATTTGGTCCCACTGTACGTGTCACGTTGTAACGTGTGCGTGTCGTTTGGTCCCACTGTACGTGTCACGTTGTAACGTGTGCGTGTCGTTTGGTCCCACTGTGCGTGTCATGTTATAACATGTACATGTCACGTTGTAACGCATGTTGTAACGTGTGCGTGTCGTTTGATCCCACTTTACGTGTCACGTTGTAACATGTACGTGTCATGTTGTAACGTGTGCGTGTCGTTTGGTCCCACTGTGCGTGCAGGTTTGGTTCAGTAACCGCAGAGCTAAGTGGCGTCGAGAAGAGAAGCTACGCAACCAGAGACGCTCCACGGAGCAGGTGGGGGGCGCGGGGGGCATGCCCCACGGGGGGAACCCTGCCTCCAGACTCCCCCTCCAGAGTGGATTTAACTCCATGTATCCAGGCATCCACCAGCCCATCGGGGGCATGGCTGACAGTTATGCGTGAGTAAAGCAGATTTTATAGATTGTTTTACCCTTAGTTAGACATGGATTCATGAGTGTTATGAATCCATGGCTAACTGTTATGAATCCATGGCTATACTTAACAAAATGATAAGTAAATTGATCAAAATTTCCATTAAAATGTCTGGAGACAAGCACCTTTGTCAGTCTAAATTTCAATAAATTCCAGCTAAAAACTCTTTGAAGTATTGAAATGACGGTGGTTTTAGTAATTTTATCAATGAAATTATGTTTAATTATGATGAAATTCTTTTGCTTTAAAAATCTTTTAAGATATGAGAATTTTAGTAACCCTGTACTACCGTTCGAACCAACGCGATTTATTATTAAAGAAATTCACCACGTACGTCGTCACTCAGTAGCGAAAATACGCACCGGTAATTTGGGGTAAAAATGTCTACTATCAACCCAAAAATTAAAATTATAATTAATAGTTGTGAATCAAGTCACGAAAAGTTCAAGAATCGGCAACAGGCCATGGGCCTATTTCTTCAGCGCCGACACTTCTATTCTAATAGTTATTAATTGTAATTATTCCACTATTATCTCCGAGTGAAGATTCGCACGTCGACAGCTTCGTCACGAAAGATTCCTAAACTTAGCGCAAAATCTCTTAAAAATTTATAATGATGAGCAATAATAGCAATCTTTTATGGATAGTTGAATGTGACAGGTAATGTTTACCACATAACCTTCACGTACCATCTCTCAGATGGTACGAGAAGTACCATCTGAGAGATGGTACGATAAACCAGCTGATGGCCATGAGGCTGAGGGACAGAGGGCGGCCACACAACAGATGGACAAGAGGCCGGGGCTCAAACGCTTCATTTCCTGCAATGCGCTCACAGCTGATGGCCGGCATGCTGCTATCATGCTGCAGCGTGCTGCTAACATGGATTCATGAGTGTTATGAATCCATGGCTAACTGTTATGAATCCATGGCTATACTTAACAAAATGATAAGTAAATTGACTAAAATTTCAGTGAAAATGTCTGAAGACAAGCACCTTTCTCAGTCTAAATTTCAATAAATTTCAGCTGAAAACTCTTTGGAGTATTGAACTGACGGTGGGTCCGAAATTTCATCAATGAAATTATGATTATTTATGACGAAATTCTCTTGCTTCAAAAATCTTTTAAGATATGAGAATTTTAGTAAGATTTTAATACCGTTAAAACCAACGCGACTTAATTATTAAGGAAACTTAACACACACGTCGTCACTCAGTGGCGTAAATACGTACCGTTAATTTAGGTTACAAATTCCTACTGTCAACCCTAAAATTACAATTATAATTAATAGGTATTAATTATAATTATTCCACTATTATCTCTGCGCAAGGATTCTCACGTCGACAGCTTCGTCACCAAGGATTCCTAAACTTAGCGCAAATCTCTTAAAAATTTATAATGAAGAGCAACAATAGCAATCTTACATGGATGGTTGAATGTGACAGGTAATGTTTACCACATAACCTTCACGTACCATCTCTCAGATGGTACGTGAAGTACCATCTGAGAGATGGCACGTGAAGTACCACCTGAGAGATGGTACGTGAAGTACCATCTGAGAGATGGTACGTGAAGTACCACCTGAGAGATGGTACGTGAAGTACCACCTGAGGGATGGTACGTGAAGTACCACCTGAGGGATGGTACGTGAAGTTACATCTGAGAGATGGTACGTGAAGTACCACCTGAGAGATGGTACGTGAAGTACCACCTGAGGGATGGT